GATGCCTTGGCATGCATTACCCCTCAAAGCCTCATCAAGAACTTGTGTGATCCAGACACCACATCATAAAACAGATTGATATTTTTACTTAAACTGCTAGACTGTATACATTTGTATTAATGACACATCTTTAAATTACTCCAATTTGCTTATAGAGACAGCCAACAGAACTCACTGAAATTACTGAACATCAGTAACATAGAGGAATTTTTTTAAGTTAGGCCAGTACAATATTTGCAAACATTACTGTGATAGCCTCAGATGATAACTGACTAATGTATTGTGTCCATTCAAGCACCTTGATCTATACCCATACTTTTTCCTTTCCTAGAATTTTCTTCCTCCCTCAACTGGATTTGTCCTCATGAAAAAAATCCAACTGACCTCATTTGGAAACTTCCTCTGAAATGACCTTCTCCCACACAAGAAACAATGTTTGACAGATCTTTGTAACAACTTTAGTACTAGGAACAATGTACACGGAATGTGTTCAAAATAGATGGATTCTAAGAAGTGCCTAGATCTTTGGGGGTGTCCAGTAAATAGCTGAATGAAGGAACACCTGAAGCATAAATCTGTACATTCCCCATTGTCTGTCTTTATATTACTCTGTGGTAGATATACAGATTATCAAATAAATGGGGAAAAGGAAGGAGAAGGAACCCCTGAACAGTAGGGGTAGCCTGGATCTCAAGATGACAGTGACCTCCAGATAATAGGCAGCTCACCTCCTCTCCAAACCGAGAAGGATCTGTTCAATCTTTCAAAGACCCTGAACCACCTGTCTAGTAAAAGAGAAATCTATTAGGCAAGTCCTTAAACTTTACCAAACCACATTAAACCTAAGGCATCTCAAGCTGTAGCAAGTTTTAAAATCTGCAGCAGTCACACTGAAAATGAATACAAAAACAGAATACATTTCTCCAACACTTTAGCTAATTTCTCCAAATGAATCCAGCCCCTACTATTAACATACTGGGGGTACATGCCCCCACGTCCTGATAACAGCATTGAAGAGTTAGTAGTTATGACAGCAAGAGGGAATATAGTGTACTTAAGTGGAGGAGAAAGGTGAAAGAAAGACTATACCTCCTGTTTGCCTTCAGCAGGGCTTCATTTTATTCACAAATTGAGAAAAATAAATAAAAACAAAATTCTAGCTTCCAAGACAAAACAATATTCTATGTAGTAATTAAAAAATAGTTCCTGGAGATTCTTAGACATAGAAAACAAACTTATGGTTCACTAAGGGGAGTGGGGAGGGAGGGGTAAATTGGGAGTTTGGGATTGGCTAATGCAAACTACTATGTAAAGAACAGATAAACAACAGGGCCCTACTATAATAGCACAAGCAACCATATTCAGTGGCTGATAGTAACCTGTAATGAAAAAGAACGTGAAAAAAAAATATACATATAACTGAATCACTATGCTGTACACCAGAAACTAATACAACATTGTAAATCAACTATACCTCAATTTTAAAAATGGGAAAAAAATAGTTTCTGTATTATACCGAGTCTGAATCTGACATCTTGTGCCTCACTAAAGAGCTACTTTCTGCCTGTAGCACAGACTTTTCAGAAACGCTTACTCATTCCTGGGATGTAGTTGCTGTCATCCTCTGCCTAAATGTAAACCAAAACCATGGGGGTAATGGAATATTCCCTCAGTCCTAGGAGAGAAACGATACCTCTGAGGCTTGACCTGATCATAATGACATGTTCTACTCTATCTTAGTATATAAAAACTGTATCAAACCCATCTGTGGCCAAATCAGTTTAAAACTGACTCTTTCACCAGGTGCTGTGGAAAAATTTTGTCCTCAGGTAGCAACTCTTTGAGAATCTCAAATAACTTCACAAAACTAAATGCTATCTATCACTAGCTTATATTTTCAATAGGTTGAATGCTGTTGAAAGTTCAGTACAATGTTTATAAGGGATAGTATCCTCTTCTCCTTCAACACGTTATCTGATCCTCCACCTTCTCCTGATGTTGATAATCACTGAATCATGCAAGGCAGCACCATGCCCTCCACCCCTTCTTATCGGAATTTGATAGATGAGCATTGCATTCTCAAAAGCTTTGCAGTTTACAGAGTCTGATTGCATTGGTGGCATGACTCAGAGCACAAACTAAATTCAGCCTGCTCCTTGGTAGAATAAAGTTTTCTTTCTTTTCTTTTTCTTGTTTAAAAAAATTTATAGTATTATATCTGATTTCACACTATTTTCTTCCAACATTTATATTTCATTTATATGGAAGAGATCATGGGAGCTTATCAAGGTCTCTCATATCATATTAAAGTAATAATTTCTAAGTATAAAGCATCAAATTGTAAACAGACTCCATTGATGAGTTTCATGAATTCATGCTACTTGATCTTTCTAGTTTTCAAAGATAGACATTCCAATTTCATTTTAAAGAGCATTAATGTCTTTGTAATTAAGATTGCCGATTTTTATGCATCCAATTTTTTTCTTTGATAGATCATAAGAAAAGACAAGCTATAGGGAACACTATTTAAAACTCAAGTTTTGTTAACATAAAAACAAAACTGCTATACTTTAGTTGTGTTTTTTGTTTGTTTGCTTGTTTGCTTTCTTTTTGCTGTCAGTAGGATAAGACTGCATACTGGTAGACTGGTGCAGGAAAATACGGACTCAATTTAATGTAGTTCAGTTTAGTTTGAATCAGTTGATTCAATTAGGTTCATCTTTAAAGAGGGCTATTAGGTAGCAGGCACTGTGCTAGGCGCTGAAGGCATACAAACAGGAGG